CACACCCCCGCAAAGATACGAGAGATTATCTCCGATGCCAACCTTGAGCCTTACGACGTAATGCATCCCCGATCCATCAATTCCAGATTGCTTTATCTCCGGTCCCAAGATGGAAATGGCCCGATCTACCCGAGAGACGAGTCTCTTGAAAAAGGTATAGAAGACGCAACTGGAGAAGCTATAAATTGAGTTCGACAAACAAACATCACATCCTTGCTCATCAGACTTGTTTTGAATTATCGTTTCAATTGTTCTGTTTGTTTCATCAGCCAAAATGGTTCTCAGAGTTCAAGAGTCGGGCCTGGACCACCAAATAAACCAGGTCAGCCTGGCCGACCTCAAGGCCCAGGTCGTGGTCAGCGAGCTGGATACTCCCTCCTCCAAGCCTCCTGTCGATGACAACTACATGTACGACTTCAAGTACAACCACCCTCTTCCCACCTCGGACGTTCTGGGAATTGAGATCCCCTCCGACTGCGACGCTCAGAAGGAGGCGGAGACGATTGTTGCCCGCCTTTCCGAGAGCATGGGAGCTGGCGATGCGCAAGCATTCACCGATCTCTTCCTCCCATATGGTAAGTCTTACTCTGTGCTCCCATATGGCATGCATATGCAACCAACTGACATGACAATCCCTCAATACAGGTGTCTGGCGCGACAAGCTGTCCTTCACCTGGGACTACCGCACATTCAACTTCCACCCCGCCATCTTGAAGGCTGCCCAGGACCTTTTCCCCACTACGAAAGCCACCAACTTCAAGTTCTTCAGTCCCGCTCCCGCGGTTTCCCGCCCATACCCCGATTTTGCCCAGCTACAATTTGTGGTGTCATTTGAGACTGAAGTCGTCAATGCTTCAGCGGTGATCAATGCCGTTCTCACGAAGGAGGGGTGGAAGATCTACACCATGCACACTGTGGCCGAGAAACTGAAGCAGTTCCCGGAAGTGCCCCCGGCCGACGGGCATATGACCGGTCCCATCAGCTGGGAGAAGCAGCGGGCCGCAGAAGTAGAGGCTGCCAATCCGGAGGTTCTGATTATTGGTGGTGGACAGAAGTGAGCAATTCCCTTCTCCATGCCTACATTGCAGGTGCTGACGCCCTTACCCCACACCAGTGGTCTCGCGCTGGCCGCCCGATGCAAGGCACTGGGCATGGACAGCCTGATCATCGAGCGCGGCGACGAAATCGGAGACGTCTGGAAGAAGCGCTACGAGTACCTCTCGCTGCACTTCCCTCACTGGGCCGACGACCTGCCCTACTTCCCCTACCCCAAGCTCTGGCCCACATACACTCCCGCCCAAAAGCAAGGCATGTACATGCAGTGGTACGCCGAGGCGCTGGAGCTGAACGTCTGGACCAAGTCGGAGGTGGTCAGGGCCGAGCAAGACGAGCAGAACCGGTGGACGGTCACAATTAACAAGGAAGGCCGGGAGACTCGCGAACTGCACCCCAAGCAGGTCATCATGGCCACCTCGCTGTGCGGCATGCCCATGACCCCCCAGGTCCCCGGTATGGCTGACTTCAAGGGCGTCATCCGCCACTCGACCGCGCACGACAGCGCACGGGACTTTGTCGGGAAGAAGGTCTGCGTGGTAGGCACTTCCTCCTCCGGCTTCGACACGGCCTTTGACTGCTCGCGCCGTGGCATCGACGTCACCCTCCTGCAGCGGTCCCCCACGTACATCATGTCCCTCACCCACTCCGTGCCCCGCGCGATCGGCAACTACGGCCCCGATGCCGAGGGCAACCGCCCCAACCAGGAGGAACAGGACCGCTTCTTCTTCGCGACCCCCACGGGCCCCGGAGAGGAGCTGGCACGCCGCAACGCCAAGGTGCTGGAGGACCTCGACCGTCCGCTGCTGGATGCGCTGCACGCGCGGGGGCTGCGCACCTGGCGCGGCCAGCGCGGCACCGGCGGCTCCACACTGGGCCAGACGCGCAACGGAGGCTTCTACTTCGACGCGGGTGCGTGCGAGCACATCATCAACGGCAAGATCAAGGTGGAGCCGGGCTACATCGAGCGCTTCACGGAGGACAAGGTGATCCTCAACGACGGCCGCGAGCGCGAGTTCGACCTGGTCGTCTTCGCCACCGGCTTCTCCAACACCATCGACTCCGTGCGGGCCACGCTGGGCGACAAGATCGCCCGCCAGTGCGGGCCCATCTGGGGCATCGACGAGGAGGGCGAATTCAAGACCGCGTACCGGGAGACCGGGGTGCCCAACCTCTGGCTCATGGTCGGCTACCTGCCCTACACCCGCTTCCATTCGAAGCTCATGGCGATGCGTATCAAGGCGCTGATGGAGGGGGTCTCCCCCGCGCCTTACAAGGCTTAGACTTCGACTGGTGTGCTTTTTTTGGGTTGCCTGTATATATGTATGGATTTTTCTCATGATCACGAACTTTCCCTGCAATTAGTTGTTCTTCAATGTCAGATTTCTTGATATCATTTCTCCGAGTGCGATATTGTAGGGTAGGTGTCTTTAAGAAGAAACTGTGTCCGACGCTAGTCTAGACATACCTCACGTCATAGACCAAGTTCCATTCGAAACACTGAGAACTGCTTCAGGATTCACTGTGTAGTTCAATCTCACTGCGGATGAGTGAAATAGCGCAGGTTATGTAGTGTCCATGATGCAGCAACGAGCTGTCGCAAAGGGTTCCTGTGCCCAAGTTTGAAAAAGACCTTTGATTGAGCTACTCTGAAACGAGCTCATGATCTCAAGGGCGGAAGGTACTACCATCAAAATTCGGACTTACCAGTCTATATACCACGTGCATATACCTAATCGTTATACAAACACACCCGGAGGTTTGACCTTTAGAGAGGTCAACGCAAACCTGTGCCGAATTTCCTCCGGATTCCCCCGAGCTACACATCCGCATGAGACCTATATTCTGACAAAATGGAATTTATTCATTCAGAGGATGTGAGACCCTTCAATTTTATATATACACGGTGGTGGTGGAAAGCAACTCACGTAGAGAAAGAGGTAGAGAGGTATGGCGCTTCGCAAAGTGCGAACAACCGAACTACGGACTCAGGCCCTTTATCATATGAAACTTATTTTGTGAACGTGCAACAAGAATTTCTCATTTTAATTCTGTACAGCCTAACACCAAAGACTCGCTTTTTGAATGATAAATCTATACGGCATGCCCTCACCAACGGCATCACTGCGCCTTGACCGGACCGTACCAGTCCGCAAAGCCCAGGTCGAACCCCCACAGCGGCGTGTTCAGCCGTTGAGCCTTGCCCTTGGCCGCCAGCCCATCGAGCACGGCCAAATCCTCCTCGGAGAGCGCAATGACCTCGCGGTTGCTGGCAATGCGCTTCTCGGTCACCGACTTCGGCAGCACCACCACGCCCTTGTTGACGTGGTAGCTGATGAGGATCGTGGCAGCCGAGACGCCGTTCTTGTCCGCGATCTGCTGGATCTCGGGGTCGGACATGATTGGGGCACCTGACCACACATGTTAGTGACTTGGTTGACTGTGGAGTCTTTTTCTAGAGTGAGCGCGAGTGAAACCCACCAGTAGAGCCTAGAGGCGAGTACGCCTCCAGAAGAATGCCAAGCTTCTCGCAGTACTCGCGGAGTTCATGCTGCGGCAGGAACGGGTGCAGCTCGACTTGGTTGACCGCCGGCACGACCGTCCACTTCTTACGCAGCTCCTCGAGGTAGGGGATGGACCAGTTGGCCACACCGATCGCCTTAACTTTGCCGGATCGGTACACCTCCTCCATCTGGCGCCAGGTCTCGTTCTGGTCCCATGACCGGTCAACCGAGCGGGTACCATCTGGGTTCACTGGCAGGAGCTCGCTAGTTTCGTTCTGCACGCGCATAGGGTTAGCCCATGGAGAGGCTAGGGACAGGGGCCAGGAGGACTCACCGGAACAAGCCGAACGGGCCAGTGCACCAGCTGATAGCAACGTGGGTCAGTCCTGATACGGTACAAGGTATCACGCGGTTGTCACGTGTTGGACAAGACCTACGTAGAGGTCGAGGTAGTCGGTGCCCAGTGCCTCCAGAGTCTTCTGCAGACCCTCCTTGACGTTGGGGTGGTGGGTGTTCCAGAGCTTGCTGGTGATGAAGATCTCCTCACGGGGCACGCCGCTGTCTCTAATCCCCTGACCGACTTCGTTCTCGTTGCCTATTACGTAGGCATTAGACTAGTCATGGAAGAGGCGCAATGGCCCGTCGATGTATGGGAGCTCACCGTAAATCCTGGAGGATGTTAGCGGGGGCGACTTGACACAGGGAGACAACAAGACTTACAATGCTGCGTCGATGTGACGGTATCCATTCTTGAGGGCGAAGGCCACCGCCTTGGCCACCTCTCCGGGCTCGGATTTCCAGGTTCCTATACATTGAAAACACCAGGTCTTAGCAAGTACTGTACCGTACCACGACAGTCCACAAACATAGGCACGTACCGAGACCGACGGCGGGAATCAGGGCGCCCGTGTTGAGCTTGAAGTGAGTAGAAGGAGCCATTGTGATATTGCTATTGCTATTTTGGTTGGTGAGAGAATACAAGAAAGTACAGTAGATGCCAAGTAGCGCTGCAGGGACCGCCTCTAAAAAGGCCCTGCGCTGTTAATGCAGTCGGAGATACTCAGCGTGGGGTCGGAGATTGGCTTAACCGCCATCGGGTTTATCTGAACCTCGGTAAGTGCTTATCTCCGGCCCTGGCAATGAGCTCCGGTATGACGTCGGACTAGGTTTGTTAGTCGTCCCTGTCCGGCGCCGTGATCGTAATCAAGAATAATTGAGATATGAAGTCAACGGGATTATCCCATTGGGTCATTGATGCCTATTGTTCATGGTCTCGCTGATGCAGAAATTCACCTTGAACTGGAATATGAAGTATCAGAATAGTTCTTAGGAAGCAAGTCATATATCAGATTTCAATCATACAAATGATCATGTCAATCTACCTTAAATTCTCAAGTACGAGTGAAAGATAGTGATATCCAGCCAGGGCTCGTCCCATGACTTCTATAGCCAGACAGCATGTTTAATGCCACTCTCCAATCCCTCATTCAACCCAGCCACCAGGGTCCACACATCGCCTCGATCTCCGCTAATCTCGTAGACCTCGACACCACCACCCTCCTGCCCTGCCGCCACGACGTACCTGCCGTCGTCGCTGACCCGCATCCCACGGATGACATCGAGCTTGGTGCGCACGTGCTTGATCGCCTTGACACTCCTGCCGTCGTCCGATAGCAAGATGATGGCAATCGCATCGCCGGGCGGGGGCTGCTGCGGGACGTTCTGCAGATGCGGTTCGCGGCGCGCGATGTGCCGTTCCCACCGATTACTGACATAGAGAACGTTGGGAATCGAAGGATGCAGACAAATCTCGGAAGAGTCCATCATGAACTGATGGTCGGGGTGGACCTCCGGGGGTATGATGTTGGGAGCGAAGCCAGCGATGGGCGGGATGGCTTCGGCGGGGCCATCGGAGAGGTCGAAGGCGAGGACGGTGTGTGAGAGCTCTCCGATCACGTACATGATTCTCTCTGGGAAAGCTTCCGTCAGCCAACCTAGCCAGGTGCTATGAAGCAACTGGGGGCTACATACCATCCGGACTGAATACGGCATGCCGAGCCCCTGTTCCCGGGGGACACTGCAGCCAGCCGCAGATGTCCAGCTTCTGCACCCCCTCGCGCCGGAGGAGCCACACTCGGTCGGATCCCAGGTCTGGAGCGTATAGTAACCCGCGTTGGTCTTCAAGGATCTGATGAACATGGCATTGTCGCTGTCGGCCTTGGTTCGGGCCGTGTCCCGCGTCCCGGTAGGGGAAATTTGGGATGATCTCGGTTCGGGGGATGTCTTCGAGCAGTAGCGTGCCGGACTTGGTGACTGAGATGGGGTAGAGAGCAATGGAACCTCCTAGATACTGGATACGGTATGTGTATGAGTATCCGTTCTGACAAATGCGAAAGCGAAGGGGGTGGGATAGACAAACCGTCGCCAGCGCCAGTGCAGATTTATCGCGCAGTGTAAGGACTACACCCGAGTGCGGTTAACATCAATATTGTTTCTAGAAAGAAACATTGCAGCATGGGGCAAGACTCACAGTGACCCGGCGCTCCCAGGGTCGGCTGCTGGCTGGTGATTTTGCAAGCCTTGTGTGCATGATCAACTTCGAAGCTGTAAAGCAGGCCGGCGTCATCACCCTCGGATAGCCCGAGTAATTGGTCAACGCTGCCTTGCGAAGACACGGGCTCGACCCAGGAAGCATTGTAAGGGGCGGCGTAGTTTGCGAGGATGCTCAGCTTCTTCTTGTCGAGATCGAGTGCGAGCGTGGTGAAGTCGGCTCGGTCGCCCGATAACAAAAGTTTGCAATGCATCGTGTATCAAACAGGAGTCATACGAGCGAGACAGATTCGATTTGCACGCCTAAGCTAATCTGATAGCTAGTATAATATTCCATTCATTCCCTCCCTATTGTATTTCTTGCTTGATTGAATGAGGAGAGAGCCATGCGTGCCCTAATCTCCGATGGTCACGTGCATCGGGCGATGGGACCCTATCACCTCATTATCTCCGATGTCAGATTGCTCCGATCCGATGTCATTTGGGCACAGAACACAAGCCTGTCCGTGGTTTGGATCGACTTTGCAATACTCCGGAGGAGCAGATGTATATTTTCTCACAGGCGAGCCCCTCAATGACAATCAGAGACTCCATAAATCCCACCCGAGGCAAGGCAAACGTCATTTCCTCGTGCGTCCCAGGTCATTTGTCTGGTCTCTGCCAGGCTTCGAGTGACAACGGCATATGGTGAATACGAAAGCCCTGCCAATCCTGTATTTTGCCTGTCCCGATAGGAAAGGATGGAGCAGCAGACGAAACTCTAACCTCTTTGTTGGCCACAGCGGTGAGGCAAGGGAAACGACATCTCGATGCTTCCAAACTGGTTGACACGGGTGGAATAAGCTGCTAACATGCCGTGTACCACTAGGCGATGAGACCTTCTGTCAGGATTTATCTTTGAGCATCCACAAAGCCTCTCGTAGGCTATATGACGCAGATGACGTGGCTGCAACTATCATTGTTCGTGATAGGTGCATTCGCGCCCATCTATTTGCCCTGTAGAACATAGATCCATACTCCGGTCACCCGGCTGCTAGTCGGAGTAGGGATCCTCCAGTCGGATCAAGAATCTTCCAGTATGCACAGTATGCCCCCCAAACTGGACGGGGGACGGGGCTAACCCCCACGCCCAGTAGCCCGATGTCAGCGTCCAAGTGAGATGTCCGACGGGCCGTGTCGATATTGTCATTGAGCCCGACTACGGGTCTGCATATCTGATTGGCGTGGCAGGGATCAATGGTAGGCCTTCTGGAGAATCTCGGGCAGGTCCGGGGTAACCCCAGCAAGATACGAAATGGTTCCCCCCACCCCCACGGGGTTACTTAAAGTAACCATGTTCCTGCCCTCTTCAACCTCCGAGATGAAATCAGGCCACTATTTCGACCGGCATGAATTATCAATCAAAGGACTCAATGCAGCCACGAGCCAAGGGAGACGACTCCACAACGGTGGAGCACGATGAACAGGGCACGATCCTTGATGTCGACGCCCTCAACGTGGAGGAACCCTCCTACGGCCCGGACGGCATCCGAGGGCTCTTCAGCTCAGGCTACGTTCTAGGGGCCGCATTTCTGGCGTCACTCGGCGGTTTCAGCTTCGGGTATGACCAAGGTGTCATCTCGGTGATCAACGTCATGCCGCAATTCCACGCAGCCATTCCGGGGTCAGCGAGCGAGTTCGGTAAGGGCTTTATGACCGGCATGCTGCTCCTCGGCGCCTTTGTGGGCTGTATCTTCATGCCGTACCTGGCGGATAAGATCTCCCGCAAGTGGGCGTTGACAGTCGTCGTGGTGATTTTTGACATCGGGGCGATCATCCAGACGTCCGCCCAGAGCTACGGGATGTTAGTCGCCGGGAGAGCTATTGGTGGGATTGGAGTTGGTACGCTAGCCATGGTACGTACTTGATGAGAATCTTAGTACCCTATACATCTGATTGCTAACTCAGTCTGGCCACTCAGGGCGCACCGCTGTATATCTCAGAGATCTCGCCGCCAAACCTACGAGGAACCCTGTTGGTGCTAGAATCGATCTGCCTCGTTTCGGGCTCAGTCATTGCGTATTGGATCACATTCGGGATGAGACTGGTGGACAGCGAAGCCTCGTTCCGTGTCCCCTTTGGGCTGCAGATGGTCAGCGCCACGCTGCTTGGAGTTGGCATCCATTTCTTCCCCTACTCCCCGCGGTGGCTGGCTCTGGTGGACCGTCCCGAGGACTGCCTGAAGAGTATCAGTAAGCTGCGCGGCCTGCCCACGACCGACGCGAAGGTCCAGGCGGAATTCCAAGCCATCATGACGGAGATTCGGATCCAGAAGCTCACCGAAGAACGCCTGCGTCCCGGTGTAACCGGTTACAAGCGAGAAGCGGCCCTGTGGATGAGCTTGTTCAGCCGGCGCACCTGGAAACGCACCGCCGTCGGCATCGGAGCGGGATTTTTCCAACAGTTCAGCGGAGTCAACGCTTTTGTATACTACGCCCCGACGCTCATGTCGACCCTCGGCCAGACCGGCGAGATGTCATTGATCCTATCCGGGGTCTTCAATTGTCTGCAGCTCGTCACCGTGCTGGTCTGTTTCGTGACCATCGACAGGATCGGTCGGCGACCGCTGGCGATCTTCGGGGGCTTTGGCATGGGCGTCTGCTATATTATCATCGCGGCCCTGACGGCGGTCTATGGGCCGGGCTGGTCCAACGGGTCGGCGGGGTGGGCCTGCGTGGCGATGGCCTTCCTGTTCATGCTCATCTATGGAAACACCTACTCGCCCCTTGGCTGGGCTCTGCCGTCCGAGGTTTTCCCGACGGCCCTGCGGTCCAAGGGCGTTGCGCTGTCGACCTGTGTCAACTGGCTATCGAACTTCGTGGTGGGGATCGTGACACCGGCGATGATATCGAATATCACGTACGGGACCTATATCTTCTTTGCGGCATTTTGTGTTCTTGCGGGGGTGTGGGCGTTCTTGCTCGTGCCCGAGACGAGCGGGAAGACGCTGGAGCAGATCGACGAGATGTTTGGAGATGGTGGTAGTCTCGAGGAGAATGAACTCAAGCAAGAGGCTGTTCTAAAGATGGGCTGTAGTGGAGCAAGCTCTGGGGTCTAACTTAATTGAAGCTTAGTATACCAGGTAGTTAGAGAAAACATCACATAAAAACATTAATTTTTTCGGGATGCCTCTCGACTACCGGTCCTAGACTTGATGATGCTCACCGGTTCTTCAAGCATGTATAATCACATAATGGGGGTGTTTCTGAAAGGAACTAGTTAATTGTAAACGTGTTTGTATCCTGAAGTTGTAGGGGGTGGCTGTCAAATCAGTAGTCAACCCCCACCAACACTGTACCCCGGTCAGGTCTGACACTTCAGGCTACCACATTACCAGAGGAGCAAGATGCCGGGAGTGTGTGCCAATCGAGTAAAAATCTCGTGCATAGCCGCAGCATAAAATCCAGCAGCCTGAACTCCGACAGCACGTCAGCTTCACACAACGGTCGGTGTGATTGGCCCGAGCGTCTATCAATCGGACATTGGCCTGAGGGTCCAGGCAGCCACCACACTAGTTCCAGATAGGGCTAGCGCACGCGAGCCAGCCAATGAAGGCATACTCACTCCCACTCCCAGGATCGCCGCCCTGAGATCGGGCTGCATGCAACATCTCTATATTTGCAACAAAGGATCAAGGCTGCCTGGATGAGCCTCATCCTGGATAAACCGAGAAGAAAACAGGTCATATATAAGAGGCAATAGTCGTAGAGGAGAGAGTAGTCAAGCAATTAACCATTATCACATCAATGAGCACAACCACATCCATGGCCACGGCCACCAGTGCCCTAACCTCGGCGACATCCACCGAGACATGCACCCATCCCCAGCCTGGCAAAAACGGCTATCTGCCACCTGAAGCCTGCGACGCAGTCCTGATGTACGTGCCGTCATTTGCAGCCGCCGTACTCTTCTGTGTCTTGTTCGGCTTCACCACCATCTGCCACCTCGTACAAGCGGTTATCTACAAGAAGGTAGCCTCCCCACTCCCCGCTGATTCCTGCCTTCGCCCAGCCACCATGCTAACAACACGCAGAGATACGCCTGGGTAGTGATTATGGGCGCTCTTTGGGAGCTCCTCGCCTTCATCTTCCGCGCCCTCCTCACGCGTAAACAAAACAGCGACATCTACGACACGCTGTACACGATCTTCTTTCTGCTGGCACCGATCTGTGAGCAAGCACTGCCCTCTCTATACCACTCCCTCTCAGCAATACCCCTCCCAGCCATAGCCCCACCATCCACCCAGTCCCATCCACTAACCGAGCAACGCAAAAGGGATCAACGCCTACCTCTACATGACCCTAGGCCGACTCATCCACTTCTTCCTCCCAACCCGCCGCCTCGCCCACCTCACCTCGACCCACTACGCGCGCCTCTTCGTCTGGCTCGACATCGTCGCCTTCCTCGTCCAACTCGCGGGCGCCTCCATGACGACAGGCGAGGACCAACCGCAAAGCACGATAATGCGGGGCCTGCACATCTACATGGGCGGGATCGGGATGCAGGAGTTCTTCGTGCTGATCTTCACAGGACTAACCATCCACCTGCACCGGAAGCTGCTCGCCATGGAGCGCGCCGGCACCCTGGACGCGGGACGCGTCCACCGCGCGGCCGGAGGACCGTTCCGACCGACGTGGAAGAAACTGCTGGCCGCGATGTACCTGGCGCTGGGGCTAATCACGGTGCGGATCGTGTTCCGGCTGGCGCAGTACGCGCGGGGCTCGGACGTCAACAACCCCGTGCTGACGCACGAGTGGTACGAGTATGTGTTCGATGCGGTGCCCATGTTCGTCGCGCTGGTGGGGCTGAATGTCGTGCATCCCGGGCAGGTGCTCCGCGGGGAGGGGTCGGAGTTTCCGCGGCTGAGTCGGAGGGAGAAGAAGGCTTTGAAGCGGGAGAGGAAGAAGCGGAAGCGGGAGGAGAGAATGAGGAGGAAGCTGGGGAATGGCGCCGGGGAGTCGTTTGAGGAGTTGGGGGCGCTGGAGGGGGGGGATGTTGGGGTGAGGGGTTAGGGTTGGCTTATGTTGTACGGATTGTGTTTGATGCTGGTATAGATTATACATGGATCCCTGGTTGCTGATTCAGAATATATTCAGGAAGTTTCAGCCTCATATCGCGTGCCCGATTGAGTCTTTGGCGACTGAGATCAGGCGCCCAGTCCCCGTCTAGAAGAGAGTACGGGCCATCGAAGGTTTGATGTAAGCTTAGCAGTAATGGTTCATCCGAACCGGGGCCCGTGAGGTTCATCTTCGATTGGCCACCGGTGGTAATCTATTATGATTTGACACTCGACCACCTAGACCAGTAAGCAGCACCACACGCGTGCGCTGTGGAGCCAAACTCTTGGCCCAAGCGCATTCAATCTAGGCAGTGAGTACAGCTGTCTCAGTTGCCTAGAATCTAGACTGTAGAATGTATACGTCCATCTACTCACTGCGCCTGCTATCCACTCACCGTTCCTTGGGTCAATCTCTGCGCCAAGCATTGGCATCAGCCGCCTTGAACGGTTCTACAGACAAGAGATATACACCCCTCTACCTTCCAGGAGCATATCCAGACACCATCACCTCTACCCTTAGATTTCCTCATAAAAGACCCAAAATGCCCGAGGCCCTCTGTCCATGGGAGGCGCCTATCCTCCTCGCCGCCGCGAGCGGACGAACCTTCGACCTCGAACAGCTTCTCAAAAACAGCGACGAGGTCAATGCTTGTGACACGGAGTACGGACGGAGCTGTCTGGCGTGGGCCGTGGCCAATGGCCATGGCGATACGGTGCGACTCCTCCTACAACACAACGCCGACCCCGACGCCCCCGATGCGGGCGGTCGGACGCCCTTGTTGCACGCCATCGCCAACAGAGACGAGGAGACTGTCAAGCTGCTGCTGAACGCGGAAGCCCGTGTCGACCTGGCTGACTTTCAGGGACGATCGCCGCTCATCGCAGCGGCGCAGAGGGGATGCTCGGAGTCGCTGGTTAGGATGCTGCTACAGGCCGGCGCGGATCTGGACGCGCGGGACTGGCGCTACGGCGGGACGGCGTTGTCCTGGTCGGCCAGACGGGGCTACGAGGGAATTGTCCGGGTCTTGCTGGAATATAATGCCACGGTCGACGTGCGGGACGAATGTCAGCGGACGCCGATGGCGTGGGCCGCACGGAAAGGACATGCCGACATTGTCAAATCGCTCCTGGAAAGACATGCATGCCCGGAGGCCCAGGACAGCGATGGTCAAACGCCGTTCGAGGCGGCGTTTGAGGCTGGCCATGATGGTGTTGTTCAGCTCCTTCGCGGGAAGTCGATCCAAGAGATCAATGATGGATTGGCTGCACGTTCACCCGCTGCGAGGCTGGCCGACTTGCGCGAATTGTACAAGACCGTCACGCCTGATTTTGATCTGAACGACGCCCAAGACGGCGAGATCTTGATCTGGGCCATCCGAAACGAGCGCGAGGAGGATGCACTGTTGCTGGTGGAGCAGGGAGCGGATGTGAATCAACAGGGTGAACGCGGTATGGCTGCCCTCGCGTGGGCTGCAAGCTATGGTCTGGTGAATGTTGTAGAAGCCCTACTAGACGCAGGTGCTGAATCTGATCCCGTGGATGAGGATGGTTGGACTCCGCTCATGCTGGCGGCCGAGAAAGACCACACCGAGGTTGTTCGCGTCCTGTTGGCCAAGGGCGTCAACGTCAACAGGAAGAATGAGGAAGACATGACGGCGCTTCTCTGTGCATCGGGCGAATCGGTCGTGACCCTGCTCTTAGATGCAGGAGCCGATCCAAATGACGCGGATCTGAACGGACGGACGCCAATCAGCTATGCTGCCGAGAGAGGCGATGAATCGTCGGTGTTGCTGTTGCTGGAGAGGGGTGCGATGATCGAGGAAGGCCAGGAGTTATCGCCGCTGATGGAAGCCATCAGCCAGTACAACATGGCATTTGTCAGGCTGCTCCTTGAAAAGGGGGCGGACCCGTACTCGGATGAGTATAGCTGCTGCGAGTATCCTCCGCTCCGACATGCGGCAGATCATGGCCAAGTGGAAATCGTGCGGTTGCTCCTGGAGAAAGATGCAGAATCCGCCGAAACCAAGAAGGACCATATACTCCGAGCCGTTGACACAGCCTGTGAGGCAGGCCATGACTATATGGTCGAATTGCTGATGGGTCAGTACCCCTTTGGGTGCACAGACGATGAGGGTTCAATTCGAGAGCTCCAGCGTGTCGCGAACGAGGTCGCGGAACGATACGGGTATGACCTACTGACCGATCTGGTAACTGCGAGGGTGAATGAACTGCAATTGGGAAGACCGGGTGAAACATAAGCGAGTACGTGAGTCTTGCACGAGTCCGAGCATTGGAATTCCCGGACCATCACTTTTTTTGCAAGGGACGCGAGTGAATTTACAAGCATGGAGCTATCTCTCAATCTGACACAACCACCACGGAAGCTAGAAGTTGTAGACCTACACCTGACAGCCCGTGACAATGGCTAGGATACCAAAGTGTGTGATGTCAACTATTGACCATAGATATATGCTAACTTACATATCACAATCTAGTGTCTTCCCCGGAGTACTGAGCCAACCACGTTAATTGCTGCCAGTTGGCGGATTGGTATAGCCTTGCTTCTGTTGAGTCGACTACAGTATAGTAGTAAAGAAAAGTGAATTCCTGATTTGCTTCTTCGTCAGGATACTAGTCTGCGTCAGGGTGTATATTAGACTATGTGCTCCTTCCAGAAGGCACATCACCCAAGCAGCCTGAGGCCTCCCTCGTACAACACAGTCAGGTTCCAGGTGTTGGAGATCCTTATTTCTCTTTGAGTGCGGGTGGATCCCGTCGGCTCGGGCATAAATCGGAACCAAGAATCCAACTCCTCGGCATGCCGATCTTCTCCCAATTGAGCTGCTCCGGTCGCTGGTCTAATGCGACAAAATCAGTTCACTATGTCCATTATTTCACCTTGAAGAATGTCTACATAATCAGACTGCAGGGCAACAGCTTCAGTTATCCAAAGACCTCCGATCAACACTCCCTCAAACAGCCCATCCCACGGCTCAGCATGTAAGAGACCCGACACGAAATGTCCCAACCTGTTGCGGCATGAAACCACCGCCCCACCGGGAGAGAACTCTTCCCCGGACAATCCCCCGATCCATGGCTGCCTGCCACAATAGACTCTGGTCTGACCACGGACTTATGAACCGTGGAACGGCACCCTACGAGAGGCTGGAGAACCCTCCTCTTTGTTCTGCTCCCGGGGGATGCCGGGATCGCTGTGCTGTGACATCATGAGCACCTTCGCAAAAAAAAAATATGTACTTAGTAAAAAGTCTTTTGTGGTGAGATTAGCGGCGGCTTGGGTTTTTTTGTGATTAGCTTTTCTACTCTCGGATCCTTGTCGCATAGTGCAGATTTGGATTGTATAGGATTCTGCCAGATTAATTTTACGAAGGATTGAAGGATCACCAGACACGGAACGGTAGAAGAGAAGTAAGATTCTAAAGGGGTATCATTGACATTAAAGTGGGATGCTAGGGAAGGGTGGTGTTCATAAAGTGAAGGAGTGGATGTGGACACTCTCGGGGGGGTGAGCAGTGTCCACCAACTGGTGGTGGTCCTGGGCGGAAATGACGGGCTAAGCACAGGCACATCATCTGATACGGTCCAGACCCCAGATACCAGCACAGGAAATTGCTGTTTCGCATGATCGCGCGCGCGTCATGGAGAGTGAGGGTGGGCGGCGCTCATCGCGGCCACCCGTGGTTCGACACCGTCTCCGACGAGGACAACTGCGGATGGTCATCCACGTCCTGCTCGATGACGGTGTGCACCGCAATGCCCTGCAATTCCACGTCCGAGCTATTGCGACTGGCGCTGGCGGCCACGTTCGCCCCCTTGGAGAGTTGCGACCCGTGCAGCTCGTTGATCTGCAGGAACCCGTCGTGGTGGGTGTTGCTCGTCGGGTAGCCGTACAGCTTCGTGCCGGAGGAAGGGTGCGACCGGCCCTTCGACACCCCGGACTTGACCTTGCCCAGGAAGCCCTGCACCAGGGGCTTCAGCAGCGGCAGGCAGCCGCAGATGATCGCGATGTCGAGTTCCAGGCAGGTCCAGAGGGATTCTTTGGCACTCGATGCTGTGCGGAATTAGAGCTTTTCTTTGGAAAATAAAGCCAGGCATATAGGGTTGGGGGTTGGCTTACAGGCAAGATCGGTGGTGATGAATTTGCGGAATTCAATCAGTCGCATCAAGCTGAAGATACAGACCCTAAGCACGATTAGTTGGAGGTTCCATCCCTCGCCCAGTGAAAGTAAACTCACAATCCGCCCAAGGAAAAGACCATGGTCAAGGCGATCTTCTGCCGCGTAGTGATTTGAAGGCCCCAGACCACCGGCGCAGGAAGGAACAGGATGATCACATCCTCGACGAGGGCGATCGAGCCCATGGCCTGGAAGAACGCCCGCTGCCCCGCCATGCAGTGACCGTTCAACGTTTTGTCGTAGTAGTACTGGACCGGGATGCACTGGAAGATATTCACCAGCAAGGCCGTCACGGCCCAGCAGGCGATGAAGATAATCAACCCGTTGGAGACGATGGTGTAGGTGCGCAGAGTGCCGAGCAAGCGTCGCAGAAACACGACGATGCTGATCTTGATGAACGCGGCGGACGGCGCCCAGAATTTCTGAATCATCCATGATCCCTGTGGGTGCGTCGGTTAGAAAAGGAGTCAACAAGGATTGTGGCATGCTGGCTCATGAACATACAAATTGAATCCGATGACGCTCCTTGGGAGGGAGGGACGCAACAGGGATTCCAACCCCATTGAAGGCAGCTGCAAAATCCACCGTATCAGCATTTCATTCCAAGACTCCCTCAGAACACACAGGAAAAACTCACTATCCACCACGAAGGCAGTTGCGCAGTAAGACAGAATCAATCCGACGCCCATCAGCCAGTCCTCCAACTTCAACCCAGCGGTGGTATACCGCCGCGAGTACAGGCGCAGGGCATAGGTGATAGTCGCGAAGGCAGCTCCCACGATGGGGACGATGGTCAACGCATTTTTCCAGTATCTGTTCTCTTCCCAAGTCATTCTGCGTTGCCGAACTATGCGAGTCAGCCCTTCGAGATGATGGACGACACCAGGGCACAGCGCAGTTCCATGTAAGGAAATTCGTGGGAGATTTTTGGCGAAGGGGAAGTTTAAAGTGAATCGGGCTGTTCCCCTTTGAGGATCGCTCGGTGGCCTTAATTAATATTCTTAGATTATTAGAATTGTGCTGGCGTCGCCACCAAACCTTAACAGACAGGTTTGGGTCTTTGACTGTTTGGTTTCTGGCACAAAAAGGCGAATCTCCGACCGGAGGACGAGAGGGAGGGGGGGAAGGAGAGTGGAAAATGCCTGCTGATTTGTCATGGATTTCCTTTGGGCCACGCACCGCTCGCAAGGGAGGGTCCGAATGGGCTCTCTAATCTTCAACTATTGAATTCCTTTCCATGGCTGTCGCTGCATTAAGCTCGTGGGAGTTCCTCCAGGGCGGAGGTTAGTATTTTCTGTCTTCTACGAGACCTGAACCGTGTTTTGAGGTGGTTGATCAAGCCGTGCTGCCCTGGAGCTCTGGGTTTCCCCAGTCTCGTTTAGTTTTACAGTGCTGATCCGCACGATTCTTCCATCCCCAGGAACGTGATTCTTATAGAGTCTGGGGATGCTTAAGATCGTCATGCAGCATCGCAGTCTAGAAGGGGTGGAATGATCGCGTGGCAGTCGTGGCAGTCGTGGCTAGACAGGGATGCGGTGCCTTTCAGGGGGAGAAGAAAGCGAGCTTTCCATGCAGGAACCATCGCACCAGGGCGACAAGTGGGAAGCTGTGTGCATGGGATGATCTATCTGAGACACCGGTTGGCTGGCAGGATTTCCACTTGACTGCAAAGGCATGCAAGTCCGAGGCTATAGAGGCAGTCTAGTATAGTGGCTATATCAGTCGATTGCGGAGACTGGCCTTTTCGGAGGACGGCCGAGCCCTAAAGACAGTTAAGCGTGGTGGCGCCCAACGAAGCCCACGCCACGAATCATCGTTCGAAACCTTAAACAAACCCGCTGGAGAAGACAGGCAAGACTAGAAGTCGGTGGACTTCACTGTGGGTCATCGTCCTGAGGTGGTGGGTCCAGTCTAGCATCTCCTGGTGCCTCCCTGTTTCTCTCTGCTCACGGCCTCTGGCTCCCTCAGCAGCCTCGAACCCAGTCGGATGTCGGATTCTATTGCAACAATCCTCATCCATACCAGTCCCCAGTATTCCTCCACTTCCTGAGTCGTGCAATTCAATAGCCTGCGCCATCCTACGCGATCGGGGGAAACACTGACCAGCCAGACCTCGTGCGGAACGTGCCGTTACCCGACTTTCATTTTTTTTCCTGCCTTGCATTGCCGTGCAGTTTGGTCCCTTTCTGAGAAATAAATTGACGCGGGATCGTCGGGGAGATTGCCCAATTTTTTTCTCCCTCAACCCAAGCCATTCCCCATCTTCATTCTCGATTCGATTGTCTCATTCTCGCGTGGCAGTCAACAAAAAAAGATGGCGTCTTCGGGGTACAAGATGTCGTATGCCGCATTGGCCGTCCAATTTTTGGGGCTGGCCTCTGCGAGCTGCAGCAATTGCAGCCTGAGTGCGCTGAACACGACTGTCGGCGGTCGTGTCCAGCCTCTCACGCCCTTCTCCCTGCCCTGCTTCTCCAGCTACAATGGCCACCCCGTCACCCCCAACGATGCCGCCTGCGCCACTATCCAGGCCAACTACAGCGACCCCTACCTCCGCACCAACACCCCCAATGGGTACATGAACTACCAGGATGAGATGTGCTCGTCCAACCCCCAGGATCAGTGCGTGCTGGACAGCAGCGACCCCACCGACCCGCTGGCCTTCAATGGCACCGACTGCCGCCAGGGCAACATGCCCTCCTACTACCTCGAGGTCCACGATGCCACCGACGTGAGCGCCGCCCTCGAGTACTCGCGCTGCTCCGGCGTGCGCGTCGCCATCAAGAACAGCGGCCACGACTACCTGGGCCGGAGCAGTGGCAAGGGCACTCTGCAGCTGTGGACCCGTAACCTGCAGGACATGAGCTATCAGGCGACCTTCGTTCCCAAGGGCTGCCCCGCCAACACTACCTACAACGCCATCACGGCCGGTGCCGGTGTCAACTTCGACGAAGCCTACGCCTTCGCCCATGACCACAACGTCACCATTCTGGGTGGGTACTCCCCCACGGTCGGTCTGTCTGGCGGCTGGGTGCAGATGGGCGGCCACTCCGTGCTCTCCCCCGTCTACGGTCTGGGTGTCGACCGCGTCGTGCAGTACAGGGTCGTGACCCCCGACGGCAACCTGCGCATTGCCAACGAGTGCCAGAACCAGGACCTCTTCTGGGCCCTCCGTGGCGGCGGTGGTGGTACCTTTGGTGTGGTGCTCGAGAGCACCCACCGCGTGGAGCCGCGCTTCGGGTTCACGGCGGCCGTCGTCAAGTTCACCAGCAACTCGACCAACGTGCTCCCCTGGATGGACATCATCGTCAACAACACCCTGCGCTGGGCCGAGGAGGGCTGGGGCGGCCACATCACCGGCAGCACCCTGATCAACGTCTCTCCCTTGATGACCGTGGCGCAGGCCCAGCGGTCGCTCGCCTCGGTGATCGCCTACGCCAAGGCCCAGGGCGGTTCGGCCGTGGTCGAGCACTTCGCCTCGTGGTACGACTTCTACACCAAGTACGTGACCTCGGAGGCCGTCAGCGTGGGCGTGACGCACTTCGCGGGCAGCCGTCTCGTGCCGCGCGCGGTGTTCGAGACGGCCGAGGGCCGCGAGAACCTGATGGACTTCTTCAAGCTGATCCAGCAGAACGGGCAGACCCCCTACATCCCCGTCGTGGGCCCGGTGCTGTACAACTACACGGAGGGGTCGACGAGCGCGACGCCGGCCTGGCGCCAGGCCATGTGGGAGCTGGGCTCCGGCAGCGCGTGGGCGTGGAACAGCACGCTCGCGACGCGCGAGGCCAAGATCGCCACCCTGCAGAACATGACGGCCACGCTGGAGCGCATCACGCCCGGCAGCGGCGCCTACAGCAACGAGGCCAACCCGTTCACCGAGGACTGGCGCGAGGCCTGGTGGGGCACGGAGAACTACGACAAGCTGCTGGCCATCAAGCACAAGTACGATCCCTCGGGCTTGTTGAGCTGCTGGAAGTGCATTGGCTGGCAGGAGAGCCAGGCCAACAGCACCTGCTTTGCTGCATTTCAGTGAGCCATCTCCAGAAGATCGGATAGATTGTTCGATGATGTTTTCGGTCGCCAGCATTTTTCTCCCCGCGGAGTGCGGGCGCAGGTCACTCTTTCGCAGCGCGGATAGAATTTGCGTAATACCAGATAGACTTGATGTTTGTTAATGAGTTCAGGACATGTCGATAGGTTGATTAATGAGATAGTCTTAACCCTTTACTAAAGCCTTCTTTCCTGCTCTGTACGAATGAATATTGCATAAAGCACTTGTGCGTGGCGGTAGTGCTCAATAGAGTGGCGCTATTTGCCAGTCGACTAACTAGCACGGAATCGGTTAGTGAGTGGGCAGTGGAGTTGTTTGTCATTTTTGCAGCCGCTGTCATTAAAAGCGTAAGGATCGGCGTGGCTCACTGTTTCCATGGAACCGGACGATGCGTGCTGGATCGGGCCTAGCGTATCTGAGACGTCCTGAAAGGGTCCGATCCGGCTCCGGTCGGCTTTGCACTTCCCGACCCTGAGTCCGGCACTCTTTTAGGGAATTTCTTCGAGGCTCCAGGCTCTAGGCTGAGACATTGTTTTGTGCAACTGTGCTACACATAGTCCTTTGCTTCCTATTGACGAGTTAACACAACATGTAGATTGGATCCAGTGGTGTTTGACTGTACTACAGAGTCGGCCTCAGTAGATACTTGGCAATAGTTGGGAAAAATGACTTTCAGATGCCTTCTCTTTGTGAATGTGCGGGACTGCGGGTGGAAATATATCGACACTCTCCCACGACTAGATCATCTACACCAGATACGGACTGCCATTGACTGTTTTGTGCATCTAAAACTCGAATAACGCTACTTGCATACTTAACCCAACATTTGATTTGAGCCTAACCAGAGAGTGGTTGAACAATTCCTGCCTGAAATGACATGTCGTGATGGATATCATCTGGGTCAGGGTGCATTCTACTCGTATGATGCTCCCCATCCAAGGCAGTGATGCTTGACGCTCTGATGCAGAACGTCATAGCATATACGACACTGAAGACTAGCGGCTGATGATGCATATGTGAATATCCCCGCGCCTACTTCAATGTGGTTAGTTGACTCCTCAGAATTAGCCGACTATCTTGGACTGCCTACAAGCAGGCTCGGCATGGCAGCGGGAGTGGTGGAATTACCCTTTGCCAAGCCTCGGCACTGCCGTGAATAAACCCCCCCGCATTCAGCATCCGATCAACATTATACTACGAAGGGCATCTCTCCGGTGGGAGACATCGACGATGGACATCATGGCAACTGAATCCCCATGGGGTGAATCTTGGCGACCACGATGCTGTCTATTTAAACAGCTGCAATAGTCGTGAACAAAAAAGTCGTAGCTGCAGACTCCAACCGACCATCATGCAGCTTCAATCGATAATCACCCGCCTGTTGACGGCCCTGCTCGGGTTGTGGGCCCTCCTGCCTACAGCTGGGGCCTATACAAACCCGATCCGTAACCCCGGGGGCTCCGACCCCTTCTTGGTGTACACCGGTGGATACTACTATCTAATGACCACCACCTGGACGGACCTCGAGATCAGCCGGGCCACCACCATCGACGGCCTCAAGTCCGCCGAAAAGAAGGTCGTCTACTCCACCTCCACTGCCGGCCGCTGCTGCAACGTCTGGGCTCCGGAGGTCCACTACCTGGGTGGCAAGTGGTACATCTACTACACCGCAGGGGAGACGACCGACCTGGACGGCCAGCGTCTCCACGTCCTCACCGGTAGGCAGCCCACCGCTCCTCCCCTAAAACCCCCCACTAACAGTAAGCGCAGGTGGTTCCACCCCCTGGGACGAGTACACCTACACCGGCCAGCTGACGACCGAATGGTCCATCGACGCGACCGTCCTCCGCACCAACGCCTACGGCAACTACCTCGTCTTCTCCTGCTTCCACGGCGTGACCTACCAATCCCTCTGCATCCAGAAACTGGGCGACGACTATGTAAGCCTCACCGGCAGCATCAGCGTCATCTCCGAGCCGACCGAGAGCTTCGAGATCCACGGCACCCCCGTTAACGAGGGGCCCGCCGCCCTCTACATCTCCGGAACCACCTACCTGGCCTACTCAGCCTCGTACTGCTGGACCCCGTACTACTGCGTCGCCCTGTTGACCTGGGACGGCACGACCGACCCCACCTCCCGCAGCGCCTGGACCAAGGGCGATAGCTGTGCGCTGTCCTCGGCCAACGGCAACTACGGTACCGGCCACAACAGTTTCTTTCAGAGCCCCGATGCTACAGAGACGTGGATTGCGTACCACGCGTCGAATAGCAGTGCCGGGGCGTGCGATGATACGCGGTATACGATGGTGCAGCCGTTGGGGGTGAGCGGGGGGAAGCCCGTGTTTGAGACGCCGGCGGCGTTTAGTACCGTGTTTAGTGAGCCGAGTGAGTAGGTGTGGTGGGAACTAGGTTTCGAGTTGGTATGTATATAGTTTGCTGTGGCTTGTTCGGGGGCTTGGATTAGCTGGCGGTATATGAAATGCAATTATGTCTGTTGATAGCTTTCATGGTACGTAGATATATAGGTGAGGTGACTCCAGTCTGTGGACAGATAAGTAATACTTCCTCTGGTCGAGGTCGACAATGCTAAGGCTTCCTCTAGACCACGTCACCAGCAGTGAGGCTAACCCTCATTCTTCCCACTTGACCTAGCCTAACAGCTGTATACCAGCATGAGTCTGCACCTTAGACATTGAACATCTTTACCTCCTCCGCAACCCCTCATCCACCGTCCCTTCGTTCTCCCCCTCTCCCTCCCCCTTCTTGACTAACACCCCAGCAATATACGGCATAACCCCCTCCTCAAAATACCTCCGCAGCTCGACCCTGCCCCACCCGCCATCCTCCGCAGCCGCGCCCCTCAGCGCCCCCTCCGTATCCCTGGTCAAACAACAATCCCCAACAAACCACCGCCACCCCAACAACTCATACACTCCCTGCACGACCCTAGCCACGACGGACCCTGCCCTCTCATCTTTCCCCTCACCTTTCCTCCCCCCGAACCCCCGAAACCCCGAATTAACCACATGCTCGACCACAATGACCCGCCCACCCGGCTTGAGCAACGAATACAGCCCGCGCACCGTCCCCACCAAGTCCGGCACGGAGCACAGCACCCGCACGCAGAGGATGGTATCGACCCGTCCCGCCCCACTTCCATCCACCAAACCCCGCTCCCGCAACACGGGACCCAACTGCTCCGGCGCAGCACTACACCCGAGAACCGTGTACTTCTCCCCGACGCCCTCCGCCTCCGCGCGGGCGCGCAGGGTCGCGTGCAGGTGATGGCAGGGTTCGACGCCGTAGAGGGCGGTGATGGCCGGCGAGCGCAGGTGGGGCATCTGCGTGCCGGTGCCGGGGCCGAGGTCGAGGGTGATGCCGCGCGCGGTGGCGAGCAGGGGCGGGATGAGGTCGGCGGAGCCTTGGATTTCTGCTGGCGTGTCGTCGTGGTGTTCCTGGTTTGAGGGTTGCGAATGTTGTTGCGGGTTTGGCTCTGGTTGTGTGGTGGGTTGGGTGGGTTGGGGTGGTGCTGTTGATGGCTCAGTATGCATACATGACGAGATTAAGGAATGAGGGCAAGGTACCGCTGAACGCTACCCAGAACCGGCCGAAGGCTTCGTCGCGCAGACGCTGGGTCTCGAGGAGAGGGGCTAGGATGCGGCCTTCGAGGATGGCTTCCAGGCATACGAGCAGGTAGCCTGGGGTGGTTAGTGAGGTTTGAATAAGAAGGGGAAGGCCCAGGCGTACTTTTGATGGCCATGGACAGGATTTGGCCGGGTTCGAGGAGGGATGCGAGCCATTGTCGGGTTGTTGGGGGGGTCATTTCTGTGGTGGTGTATTGGAGAGGGGTGAGGTGACAGGTTGTAAATTGGAAGGGAGAGTGAGGGATGAAGATCAGTGTATAATCAGCTGAGGTGAACAAAGTGCCAGTTGAACTGGTAACCAACGCGGGGAAGCACTCGGGAAATCCAGAGATGAACCCATCTGAACGGCGACCCGATAAGAAAAAACACATCGATCCGGAGGAAGGAGAGGAATTGACCAATCGGAGTGGGTGGGCGGGGCTCGGCCTTTGGTTTTTTTAGGTCTTGGCATTGCGATCAATCGCCGAGTCAGGATCCTCTCAAAACCTTCACTTCCAACAAGATGCGAAGGACTACTCACTAAAGATAGACTGCACGTGTGTTTGGCTAGTACTTATTACGCTATCTGATGTTCTATATCTGAAGTCTAGTTCGAATTATGTCTAGGCCTCAAGGTGAATCGGACGCCTGCATGCGATCGGTGTCTGGTCGGTCTTTGGCGGGTGCTATCGCCCCGCCTTATCGCGCCTTACCAGAACCGAGTGGGGGTTGGCTGGTTTGCTGCTATTTAATGCGTCGTCCTCTTCTACAGACTTCACAACAAACCAATAACTTATCAGTCTCTGAATCTCTCCAATATCCGAAATGACGCGCGGACCTATCCCCGCCAGCGCCGACTATTTCGACCTGGGCACTCATTCACGCGCTGTCACCACCAGCAGCGAAGATGCGCGCGTCTGGTTCAACCGCGGCCTCGTGTGGGTCTACTCCTTCCACCACGGTGAAGCTGTCCACTGCTTTGAACAAGCCATCCAGCATGATCCGTCTTTTGCCATGGGCTACTGGGGTCTCGCCTATGCTGTCGGACCCAACTACAACAAAGCATGGGAACGCTTTGACCGCAAAGACCTGCACACCTGCGTCCAGCGCGGCCACGAAGCATCCCAAAAGGCCCTGGAGCTATCCAGCAACGCCACCCCCCTCGAGCAAGGCCTTTGCAGGGCTATCGTCGAGCGGTTCCCTCGCGACACTCCCTTGAGCCCGGAAGACTACGGCACCGTCAACTGCGCCTACGCCGACGCAATGAAGCCAGTGTACGAGCAATTCGGCTGCGACCTGGACATCGCCACCCTCTACGCCGACGCCCTCATGAATGTCACCCCCTGGGCCCTTTGGGACCTCTTCACCGGCAAGGCCAACCCCAAAGCCCGAACTACGGAAGTTCAGGCCGTGCTCGAAACCGCCCTCACGCAAACAGGGGCTTACCGCCACCCCGGCCTGTTGCACCTGTACATCCACTTCATCGAGATGTCTCCGACCCCCGAGAAAGGCATCTACGCTGCGGACCACCTGCGCGACCTCGTTCCCGACGCCGGACACATGCATCACATGCCCACGCACCTGGACATTTTGATCGGAGACTGGCGCGCCTCAATCCGGTCCAACTACCGGTCCACCCTGGCGGACGACCGCTACGCCGCCAAAGCCGGCCACAACAACTTCTACACCTTCTACCGACTGCACGACTACCACTCCCTGGTCTACGCCGCCATGTTCGCGGGCCAGAAGCGCACCGCGCTGGACGCCGTCACCCGGATGGAAGCCAGCATCCCGGAGACTCTACTTCGCACGCAATCCCCACCAATGGCCGACTGGATCGAGCACTTTGTCGCCATCCGGCTGCACGTCATGGTCCGGTTCGGCATGTGGGAGGAACTCAAGCAGATACCACTCCCCGAAGACCAAGCCCTGTACGCCATCACCGCCGCCACCACACACTATGCCCGCGCGCTCGCCCACGCCGCCACCAACGATATCCCCTCCGCCCGGAGCGAACAGGCCCTCTTCCTCGCCGCCCGCGAAAGGGTACCCCCGACCCGCCGGGCGTACAACAGCCAAGCCCTCGACATGCTGGCCGTCGGCATCCCCATGCTGACAGGGGAGATCGAGTACCGCGCCGGCCACTATGGGGTGGCCTTCGCGGCGCTGCAGGAGGCGATCGAGCTCGAAGACCGGCTGCCCTACAGCGAGCCGTGGGCGTGGATGCAGCCCGTGCGGCACGCGTACGCCGCGCTGAAGCTGGAGCAGGGCGAGGTCGAGGAGGCGGCCCGCACGTACCGCGCCGATCTGGGGCTCGATGAGTCGCTGATCCGCCCGCGCCGGCACCCCAACAATGTCTGGGCGTTGCATGGGTATCATGAGTGCTTGGTCAGGTTAGGCAAGGCGGAGGAGGCGAAGGCGATCGAGCCGGCGAGAAATGTTGCGCTGGCTGGAGCGGATATTCCGATCCGGGCTTCATGTTTCTGTCGGTTGGAGGTTTTGCAGGATGCGAAGTGCTGTGGGGGGGAGAGTTGCTGAGTGCAATCGTGGGGATGATAGTGGCGTGGAGGATTAACTGTGTGAGGATGTGTGAATGTATATTAGTTTTGTATACTGTTTGCATTGGAAATAAGAGCTGACAGTGTTCATGTCACTGTACTGTGCATGGTGCAGATTATCGAGCGGGTTTGACAGCCAGGTGGGTGCTACCTGATCCTCCTACGGTCGGAGACAACAGATGATGAGGCTTCGATGACAAGAGACTATTGAAGAGGATTAGTGCCACGATAGACAAAGACAAACAATGGAAAGAAATCCGTAGTCGAGCGGGGTAACTGTGGACTTATAAACCATGCCGAGGGATCCGAGTAGCACGACAGGATCTTATCAGATGGGATTCTCATCTGATATTCTCATCTGATAATCTTGCCTTTGGTTTTTCGGTTCTCCCGCCAGTGACCGCCCAATTGCACGCGACTAATGCCAGGATCCACCTCGGAGAGACTGAGTCACGCGTATGATTGGTTGCCTCACCCGCACATTGCAGGCTCCAAGCAGTCTCTGCTTTCTCTTCCGCAATACAAGCGGTCAGCATTCACTCCAAGCCTACCCTACCTATATCTCATGACGCCCCCCTCTTGCGCAGTGCTATCAATTTCTGCTGTTCTCATGTAGTCACATCAAGCGCTGGCCGCTGCAACTTCCCTTTCTCGCGTCTTCTGCAACCTTCACGGTAAAATCTCTGGTTCCGTGGAACCGTCTGCGCGCTTCAAAACAGACAGCAGCAAACAGCCTCCCACCATGCTCGGGTTCTTGCGGAGCAAGTACTACGAAGCCCGGCAGATTCTGGAACAAATCCGCCACACGCATCCTGCTGACGTCCCCGCGCCACGAGATGATGGCTACGAGCCTATCCCCGATGGCCCGGATCTGTCCTCCCCGGAGCACACCTCTCATGGGGTTGCGGAGATCGAGGCCCTGGCTTCGGTCTGGTCCACCCGGACCCTATATACGGGTTACGCACTGTAAGTTAAGTCCCCCCGCAGCCTCGTCGAGTCTTCTCTAACTCCGCAGGGTCTTCATCATCTTCTTCGTCAACTCCCTGCAGCAGCAGACGACCAGCAGTCTGAGTCCCTATGTCTATTCCGAGTTCACCGACCATTCGCTCATCGCCATGACCAATGTCTTGACGAGCATCATTGGCGGGGTGTCGAAACTGCCGATCGCCAAATTGATCGACATTCTGGGCCGTCCCGAGGGCTTTGCTGCTATGGTCGCATTGTGCACCCTGGGTAAGTTGCTCGATCACAAGAAACAGGCTGCATACTGACTACGACTAGGCCTGGTTCTGATGGCTGCCTGTCGTAATGTCGAAACCTATGTCGCCGCACAGGTAGGCTCTTCCCCGCTGAACCCCTCCGTAAAAGACCAGCCCACCCTAACTCAAGTCCAGATCATCTACTGGGTCGGCTACAACGGCATGGACTACGTCCTGCACGTCTTCATGTCCGACACCACCGAGCTCGTCAACCGGGCCTTCGTCTACGGCATCGCCTCGTTTCCCTACGTGATCACCACCTTCATCGGGCCAGCAGCCGCGCAGTTCCTCTACGAACGCGACGCCCTGTACACCGGATTCGGCATCTTCGCCGTCCTCACCCCCCTCGTGACCGCCCCTCTCCTCCTCCTCCTCTGGAGTACGCGCAAGAAGGCCCGATCGGCGGGTGTCATCAAGCCGAAGCCGAAAGACCGGACACGGATGGAGACGATCATTCATTATGCCGTGGAGTTTGACCGTATGTGATGCCTGTTCGGGACGATCCACAGCACCGTACTAACGAACGCAGCGATCGGAATGCTCCTCATCACCGCCGGCTTTGTCCTGATCTTGCTGCCGTTGACCCTGGCCACCTCGGGGACCAACATGTGGAGCACCTCGCTGCTCGACCGGTGGATGGCGCCGGACATCATCGCGATGATCGTGCTGGGTGCCCTCAGCGTGATCGGGTTTCTGTTCTGGGAGCGATCGGGGGCCCCGGTGTGCTTCGTCCCGTACAGCCGGCTGCGGGACCCGACGCTCCTCGGCGCGTTCCTTTTGGCCTGCGCGATGTTCATGAGCTTCTAGTACGCCTTGCCCTTCCGGTCCCAGTTTCCCCTACACCATTTCAACCCACTAACAACCCGTACAGCTGCTGGGACCTCTACTTCTCCTCGTACCTGCAGGTCGTCTTCAACACCAGCATCCGCGACACAGGGTACATCTACAATATCTACAGCATTGGCAGCTGCATCATCTCGATTCCGGTGGGGATGTACGTGCCCCTCGCATTTCAGTCCCCCCCTATGACATGTGTACTAACCAAACCAGCCTAATCCGCAAGATCAACCGCTTCAAAACGCCCGCCCTAGCCGCCCTCCCCCTCTTCATCCTCGGCACCGCCCTGATGATCCCCTTCCGCTCGCCCACGAGCCACATCACGGCCGTGATCGCCTGCGAGATCCTCAAGGCCGTGGCGGGCGGCACGCTGGTCATCTGCCAGGAGATCGCGGGGCTGGCGACGGGCAACCACGAGACGATCGCCGTGTCCTTCGCGCTGGTCGGGCTGGGGTCGAAGATCGGGTCCGCGGTGGGCGCGGCCATCTCCGGCGCGATCTGGACGAGTACCGTCCCCGTGTACATCGAGGAGTACCTCCCACCCGAGAAGAAGTATCTAGCGGCCGAGTTGTACGGGTCCATTGCGCGGGTGTTGGAGTTTGCGCCGGGGACGGAGGAGCGCGAGGCGACGGTTAGAGCGTACGGGGTGGCGCAGAAGCGGATGTTGATTGTTGGGCTGGCGGTGTTGCCGGCGGCGGTTTTGGGGGTGACGATGTGGAGGGATATTCGGTTGAGGGGGGTCAGGCAGGTTCGGGGGACGGTGTTGTAGATTCTGTTGCATTTGTGGAGGTATAGGGGTGTTAGGGTCTGGGGTTTAGATCGTGTATAGACTAGACTACTGCCTGGTAGATTACGGCTACGGTTACGACATATCACATGAGCGATGCACACAGATGATGAAGGAAGAACAACAACTCTTCAGCAGATGTATAGATACTATATATTTAAACTGCCCTCGCAGCATCAAAAAAACACCACCGCCGCCACCTCACTCATCACGCACCCCGCCACTCCGCACAAACGGTCCCGTCAAGACCCCATGGCTCACCAACCGCTCCCGATCCAGAAACACATACCCCCACCTCCTGGCCTCAGCGGTGCGCCTCCGCCCCACCAAGACAGTCCACTCCGCCTGCCCCAGCGCCCATCGCCACGCCGCCTGCGCCCCGCAGCCATCATCGCGAAACCGACCCCCCGTCCACAGCACCGCAGTCCGATGCCCGCCGACCGTCCGCAGGAAATTCCCCAGATTCTGACTCGTAACCACCCAAAGACACCCGCGATCCGCCGCCTCCAGCATTCTGGCCCTGCACACGGGATCCCGTTCCGCGCACGCGCGGTACAGCAAGGCCATGCCCTGGAACTGGCCATCGTCGGGGGGAAGCGGGCGCATCCCGTCCTCGAGGCGATGCAGCCGCGCGCGGTCCAGCCCGCGGTCGAGGAGCGCGTCGAACACGCCCCGGAGATACGCGGCCACGCAGAACAGCTGCTCCGCTTCCCAGGCGGCCAGCTGGGTGATCTGGTGGCGCCAGGAGGCGTCCAGGCAGACGTTGTATCTCTCCTTCACGAACCCCCGCGCGGCACCGCGGGTCGGGATCCGTCGGCGCGTGAGGGCCATCTCCCGGGTGCAGATTTCGTGGAGATAGAAGGTGCGGAGGACGCGGAGGTATTCCGGGCGGGAGGGGGGCGGGGGGAGGGTTAGGGAGGGGAAGCGTTGGGCGAAGGTGGACCAGGTCTGGGTCATGTAGTCTTCGACGAAGTGCATGATTTTGGTGTGGAAGTTGGTGATGGTGGTTAGGGCCGTGGGGTCGGAGGTGAGGAGGTGTTGGCGGATGTCGGTGGTTGGAGACGACGACCAGCCCTGCATCTGGGCCAGGTGGCATTCGCAGGTCGTGGGGTCCGTCTCGGGGCATTCGCGAAGGTACAGGAGTCCGTACAGCCGGGCGGCGAGTGGGAGGATCTCCCTCGGGATTTGGGTGCGTAGGGCCTCGAGGAGGGTGGGGTCGGGCGCGGGGATGCCTTGGGGAGGATGGTTAGGGCGATTGAAAGTGGTGGGGTTGTTCACGGCTACGGAGTGCAGAACCGCAGCTTTGGGGATGGTTTGCTGCACGCTGCAGAGCACGATGGGCTGCAGTCTTAGGACATGGACACGAACAAGAACATTCACGTGTCGGGGTTCACCGAGGCTGTGTCGCCGAGCTGGGACCCGGTGATACTGGACCGGGGCTCGTAAGGTCCATTGAACATGGACTGAGTCCGGTGCAGCCTCCTCGTCTTTGTAGGGCAGCTGAGGCAGAGCTGCAATGCCGTACTCTGAGAGGTCGAAGGACGGTCGAGTGCAAAGTAGTGGTGCACTCAAAGGCGCCGCAGCATGGCGAGCGGAGTCGTTGAGTCTTATAGGCGGCGGTTTGTTGGAGCCAGTCCTGGGTCTTTTGGACGCCCGACCAGGCTCCTCATCGCAGGTGAGTCCTCGCTTTCTGCTTGTGCAAGGCATAGAGCTGTTGGTTTGAGTTGTCATGTGGGTATCGATCTCGTTCGCCATTTCAACTGTTGACGCGAAAGGTGTCTATGCGATTGGATGAAAGCTGCAGGCGACGAAAACACGCTCGAACGACAGAGTGAGGTATACAAACGAGTGTGTGAGACCGGGCGAGTGGCCTCGCACAATATAACGTTTAGTTGGTAATATATAGTTCCAGAGTACTTCTTTCAACCATAAAGGTGGCTTGGTCAAAAGATCAGACAATGCCGTTGTTGGATAGTGTCGGTAACCTCAAAAGGATGCCTGAGACAATGCCTTTATTGGTTGGCGGTGCTGTAGGCGTTTGTGATCTGTACCGTTGTACACATATTTATTTCAAAGAATGCCAATGTGTATTCAGGATAATCATATTGCTTGGGCTATTCAGTAAGCGAACTTCTTTCATCGCTGCCTTGACGTCGGTGAACGTTTGTTGCTAGGTTTGGTTGATCCTGTACTTTGTTAGATGTTGACCACTTTCGTGCTACATGCTCTAGTAAGCTCACTCGCTCTCCTGCTCTGAATTCTTTCTGCATGGCTGTCCGGTCTTGCACAAGTATGTATATTGGTCACTGGACATGCAGATACAGGCTCCTCCCAGATCACGTGATATCATGGCCCTATCTTAAGGTTGGAGAGATGGCTTGTCATTCAGCGGCTCTGCAGTTTATTGCTTCGCAAAAAAAAAAAAGAAAATCTACAAAAGTCTGTCATATCAGTATGCAGACATCTCTCTCTCTGCCCTGCCCTGCCTCCCCCAATCCCTTTCAAGCTTCATCCCTCTCTGTCTTTCACATTGTGGGTGCTGCTCTTATCTTATCTGTGTCACGTGGATAGACTCAATTCCTCGATCACCTGACCGCGTGTTCTCTCAATACAAACACAAACACCACAGCTGAGCGTATGACAAGCCCCCGCGTCATCTACCTATTTATTATATGCCGCCCCGCTGATTTGAACGCGTCAAGGAACGATAAGAGATAAATCCCCTCGCTTCACCGAGACTCGGTGGATAAAACGTCCCTTGTAGAAGGCCAAACATGAAGCGACACGCAGATCCCTGTGCACCTCATGAGCAGGATTCCAAACACGCCAGGTTGACTCCGACTTCATTCTCGCCGACTACCCTTCCCTTGACGAGGCAGCATCTATCACAGCTTGAAACACAGAATTCAGGCAGTATGGCGAATTGGTATCCCGACGTAGTCCCCACAATGTTGCCTCCGCCTTCTCTATCATCGGTATCCACCAGAAGGTCCCGCTCATCTAGTCCACGCAAGCCGAGCGAGTCCACCTACCGAGCACGTACGCTTTTCCGTGCCTGAATCTATGTTGATGCGAAGGCACCGCAAGAGGTTGACACTCGAATCAATCCCGTGCTTCATTATCTTCCTGCGGACCATGCTACCCTCAAACTTTTAGCAGCCAAACTCCAATCTCAGTCAATGGAGTGGGCGGCCACTCAAGCCGGTGAAGCCGAGTGGGCTGAGTCCATACACGAGGCTCTGAACGGCCTGAAGTCATCAAATCTAGTAATAGCACGAAATCGTGGTGCATTTCACCCATCTCAATATCCTCCAAAGTCGAGGGCTAACACTATTTTACCTACTAGATTGGAGGTCTGATATTAAACCTAAAGTCCATGTCCCGGCACTTTCGCGGCCTTCTGTCCCAGGAAGACTGCTATGCAATCAAACCAGACCTGGCGAGTCAGAACGCTCGCAGAGGAGCATAAAACTAGAAAGTTCGTCTCCAATTCCTTCAGCGCAGCTCGCAGGTGCACCGATTCTCCACAGAGACACAACCCTATCGGTGTTATCTGAGCCAACGCTCTCATTCTGGCTGAAAGGTTCCCGTCCCGAGATCTACCTAGGGCTCTCAGATCGAGCCCTTGCAGTAGCACTGCATTCCGCAGGAATCACGAACGCAGACTTCCTGTTGAACGACCTCCAGGACACCAGTGAGCTTATCAGCGACCCCGGTGTGACCCCACTGAGCTTACGCTTTCCATTCCTCCTCGTCGAGGCGAAGTCGGGTGCAACCGGCGGAAAACTCTATCAAGCACAGAACCAGGCAGCAGTGGGTGGTGCCTCGGCAGTGAATATTCAAAAAGCCCTCTTTGGGGCTGCTGATGCGCCGCCGCTCGAAACACGAGGCCCTCAGCTAGCGGGGTCTCTAACTCCGATGTCCCTCTGTTTCTCCGTCACCACAGAAGGGCCTGTCTGTGAAATGTGGGCTCATTTCTGGGATGAAACGAAGAGCAGCTATGGTATGGCCAACATTGGCATCTGGCGGACGACACAAGAGGGTAGTGCATTTGATCTGATCTCGAAAATCTCAAGCATCTTGAACTGTGGCTCGAGAGCTTACCAAGATGACATATTCAACAGCCAGATGCTGTGACGATTATGATTGCGAGCCTCGTCAAAGCATGCTTCATGAGTTAAATGGGGCATTCAACTTTGCTACCTACTCTACGGACTTTGACACTGATAATCGACTTCTGGATGCATCGTTATGTCTCTCATACTCAGCTTACGGTCTAGGATTCAAGGCGAGAGCCACAAAAATACAGCCAGGCTGTCCCGGAAATATGGCCAGGGTGTCACTCGATTCGGATTTACCATGCAATGGTGATGCAAGCAAGAAGTTGCTACTTCATCGTCGATATCGCTCCAGTACACCAGGCAGACTATGAACGTCACTTCTAGAGGATAAGTAATCTAGTCTCACCAAGTCGCGCCGGTGAAAGGATGTCCGATTCCGTCTTCCGCCAGGGAAGCATGGAAGAATGCAGTATATTAGTCTTCCGACTCAACTTATCTAGCCTTCATTCCATATCCCAGTACTCACCAACAAGATCTGTCCAGAAATACCCAGGGCGTGAGATCAGGTTGTTCTCATGCATCTTCACACGAAATGAAGAAAGGATGGAACAGCTAAAAATTCCGCCAAGTTCCTTCCATTCCGCATGTGCACGGCTCTATCCCAATCCTTTTCAAATCGTCCCTCCACATACTGGGGGATACGTCAGCCGGGCCTACCTCAACCTGCCATTTCCTTTTTCTTGTCTTGTTTTTATTTCGTCTTACACAGACAAGAGCCACAAGCATTCGAGAATCCGATGATTGTTGTTCACCCTTCTATCCTCATCAGACTGCATTCTGGTCCCCTGCACCGTCGAACTTGACCCTTGCCCTACATGACTGGTACCTTGACGGCCAGACCGAGGTGCAGATACCGTGAAAGCAGGCGCTGTTCTGCATAGTACTGGGGATTTTCTCTCGCTGAGCGACCGCATCGAGGAAAGCAGAAATGGCAGGTTCGTGCAGAAACATCGAAATAGTGGCTTACTCTGGGATCGCCATTCCATGCGAGGTCTTAAAAGATGGAATACATTAGTAATGGTATATCTGCTGATAATAAAGCATATTTCTCTCATATCAAGAATATAGTTAACTAAGTCTATCATTTGGGGTGACGCAGCGCAAATAATATTCAAGTCGACTAATGTAGCACAGGGCCTTACTATCATAACCTAGAATGCGAGAAGCACCTTTAATAATCATAACACAATTTTTCCAATATCTCTAATAGAATTATAGGTCGCGTTTGCAGCCAGCCAGGAAGCGGTCAGATATTCTTTTATGTTCTAAATCAGAAAGCAGGAGGCGTCTTATACAAGATTATTATCTAGACTCAGTTTGCATCGTTTTGATTGCATTCACACTACAGATGAATTACGTAGACTCTTCCTAGAATAGCCTGGGTTTAATATATGCTATCTCAGATCTGTGTTGTCAGAGACACGTTTGTAACATTTGGGCCGGGGGCTTAGGATTTTCCTATTTCAGTTGTGACATAAACACTTCGTATACCTTTAAATTTCAGCTTCTCTCAAACGGCATGTGAGATAGATTGTACGAGATTTCCAGTCTGGAGACTCCTTTATAGGTCACAAGCTTGGAACTAATTTTCCGTACGAACAAATAGGCATTTCCATAACGTGCAAATTGATGGGTCAGGTGCGAATACGACCCGATACTCGCTGAACTGAACCCGTATTTCAATCCAGATATTTTCGTATTCTCCGTTTGCGTCTTTATACCAAGTGTCCAGACTTACACCAACCACGGGCCCAGGTCTCGCTTGATAAGCCTTGAGATGATATCTATGGGTCATGTTCGGATTGTGTAGATCACGAGCCTGGGAAACCATCATGGAGTCTTCGGACCTCCAAGTCAAGGGGTAACTGTTTAGGGGCGGTATTTATACGACCCATAGTCCCTGTCCTTCGCACACAAGAACAACCTTTCAATCAGAGCATGAGGGGACTATTTCGCATTTTATCTCTCATCGATAGAGACACAGATCTTACTGGGCATTACCTTGCCGTGCCATACTGGAAAAATGCCCGAATCTATCATCAAAATCCTTCGGTTTGAGGGTAAGGCTGATGGTTGGTTCGACCCGCCGCGAGAGATCTTCGATGTGCCGAGAGAGCAAGTTTTCTCAGCGGCACGCATAACTGTAGTCGGAGAGTTTCAGAGCACAGTGCATGAGGTCTCCATATTTATAACGGCAGGACCGGATAACATCTTTGTTAATAGCATCAACACCGTGGTAACAGACAAAAAGCCATCCGTCAAGGGAGACACCACTCTCTCTCATCTTGTGCCAGGCGTACTATACAACGTCAACATAACGGCCAAAGGATTTGCAACTGGTGAGCGTACGTTGATTACAGTTGAGCTCCTCGAGCTAGACTCAACTGTCGCAAATGTCACGCGCGACATTCTTCTAGAGACTGAGTCGCAGGCTCGTCAAAACAATGCAACCGTTAATGCACTCACCTTTGGGATTTCCGAAGCGTCTTTCGCGCACTTTATGGTACCCCCGAAAAGCTTTCCCGAGGTAGAAATTGGCCGGGTACCATTCCTCAAGGTCCGATTGAGCATGGAAACCCTAAATTACCCGTGGTACCCCATTTTATATATTGATGTATCTGCTGAGGAGCTCGTCATGGCGGGCTACCTACAGCTCGCCTTTTATCGCAGCACCGATCAGGCGCCATTTTCCCAACCCGTCGCAGTGGTGTTAGCGCAGGTATTAGTACGGTGCAGACCGGCCATGGTCACCACGACCGAAGACAGTCTCGAGCTCCAATTTAGACACGCCGACCTACTAAACCCACCATCTATCCTCATTCATGATCCGAGCGCCGAAACTGGGGTTCTGGGTGGCGGGTATCCAAGCATTGCCGACTTTGAGGCACAGGTCAACGGCTACGTAACCCAGATGATCACCAAGGACGGGCCCCTCGGCTTCGCCCTTCCAGCCTATCTCGAATCCCGCGCTTTGCCTGATTATTGGGACCACGTGCTCAACATGAGATTGGAGTTCCTGAAATTCAAGTACGAGACCGTTCAAGTTCACGGCCGTCCAGTATCATATCTTTTCATCATATTCTCTATGAACAGCCTGGGTCTGCCACCGGCCTGTCATTGCGATGAACCATCGGTAATGGATACCGCATCCGAGATGGGTGACAACTTGGCCCCTACGGTTTTCGAGGCTCTGCAGCACCAGGCAAAGCAAGGACGGCCGTTGTCAAAGATATGGAGCAAGGTGACGTCAGGGCGTACCGATTATACCGCCATCTTGGGTGCCGCGCAGGTTGCAGCTTTTGGAATGAGCCAGAAAACATTCCGGGAAGCCGCAAAGCCGTACGCTTTCTTTGGTCATGACCAGAGCTCGTCGACATCGAAGAACGGGGCCGTGTATGCGTCGGTGCGTTTCTGGTACAGCGTCTCACTCAAGAAGGCCGAGATCACAGATCAAGGTATTAGGGCTGTGATTGACATTGCAGGTGAGGGATCCGCCAAGGCGGCTGTGAGGGACAAATGTGGCCATGATGTGCTCCGTGCCAGCGAGCGCCTCCGAATCACCCTCCGGAACAACTCCATAAAGTGGCGCCCCAGTATTGAGTTCACAAGCAAAAATCCCAGAGAGATAACTATCGCCGCTATTGCTGACGCGCATGACGTGGGCAAGCCTGAAGTTGAGCTTGACTTTGTGGGGGGGCCGCCACCGCCGCTAGATCAAACCATCGACTGGGTCCTCACGCAGATTGCAGAGGGCACCAAGGGCAGTCTGGGCAAAATGGCATCTGACCAGTTGACTATCCGGCTGGTTCGTTCTCTCGAGGACAATGGCGCCATCCGGTTGCAATTTGTTGAGAATGACTTTTTCAAAGACGAAGCTCTCGTGCTCCTGGGTCGCCTTTGGTCCAGAGGTTGGGAATAGGACTTCTCGTCATTTGGGTTGGATCGCATGCTTGAAAAAAAAGTGACAGTTAGTTCTTCATCTTGTCCGGGAGGCCTGGTTGGTCGACAGACCGCTATCGAGAATTTCATTGAGACTGGCTTTCTGAGACTGGCTTTGTGAGACTGGCTTTCTGAGACTGCAACGCCCTATATTGCCACAAAGAGGCATCGTTCTATAGTGAGATCTATCTGTCAAAATGGCGGATACTACGACACTTGAAAGTTATCTCATCTGAAAGGTCACCTACTCATAGTCGGTTCTAGTACGTAGGCCATACCAATGTGGACTGAAGAGTATGAGAGACTAATGAATGCTTTTCCCCAGTCGCGAAGTCATGTTCGCAGGCTGCAGCACCTCTTTTTCGAATCTCGCCAGATACGAAGATAATACCTCGAACCAAAAATGGTGTAGAGAATCGCGAACGGTGATCTCGTGTCTTGGATGATAGATTTCTGAAATGCATAGTATACATTCTATGGGCAAACAGCTTTCATGGTATAGGCATATGATTCGATGATGCACAAAGCCCTGTGCACACCTACATCACTTGACAGCAGTACGCAGAACATTACACATGCATGGTACTTTCTGAAAACGGCATGTCCGTTCTATGTTGATCTAGGTTACAGTCAACGGATCCCGAGATCGGTGCTAGATTAAATTAGTCAGCAATCCCAAGTGTTCGTATCTTGGTGTGCCACGAGACAGCTCCTGTCAAAGTTTACTAGTTACTGTCTCGCCCGTTGCGAAGATCTTGGATAAGGCAAGATGGCCAGCTTTTTCTCTGCCCAAAGACCGCAGGGGCTCGAATTTATTCAAATTCCATTTTTACTTTCCATGATGCCGGGCAGCGAAATCATGCCAGCGAGTGGAATTACGGCAGCTAATGAAAATCCTGATGGAGCTGGTGAGGTGGTTGACTCAATTCATGCAAGAATTGAGTGGTGCAAGCCAGGCTTTACAGAATATCCTAGATGACTTATTCTCAGTCTTGATGGGTACGAGGATGATTCACCGCTGCGGTCTTACGCTGCAAACAATAGGATTGAAGTTATTGCTCTTGGGATGCGCGGGCGGCTATGTGTATCACATAATTGCATGACAGCACATGATTAGTGCTATGAGTGACACATAATGAGCTGCCTGAGTCCATATGCTGCTGGGCAGTGTATTTCGACGGGACTGAGAGCTTGCAAAGCTGTAATCATTGCAGGTCATGACAGCTTTTGAAAGCATTCAGCCACTACGTCTGTGCTGTGGAGGAGCGAACTACAACCTGATACTATTGCTTGCTGGTCTCGCGGAGCGAGCCTAACTTCATTCAAGGCAGCGGTAGTCAGAGCATAGCGACCAGTCTTGCGTGATCCTGTGAAAAAGGCCTGAAGAACCGGCCTGACATTCAACGAGACCGTCAACCACGAGGATAGTGCTTGGCAAAGCTTGATTTCCAGGTAGTCCGTGACCTCTGAGAAAGTGTAAAGTAAGACTTCGTGTCTTTGTATCGATTATACCGCTTTCGTATGTGCGGAATAAGCGATGGATGTTGATCGACAAGCTAACGGACAAGGCAGCGAAGAATAGCGGTAGCATTATTAACATCTGGATCGGCGGCTCGACAAAAGATGAACAACAGGAGATCTGAATCGCTGGTCGGCTTCTTCATTTCTCTGATAATGCCGCAGACTAGCAATGTCCTGCCCTTTCCATCGTCGCCTCAGGTCTAAAGTATTCGGGCTTTTTCGTGATCTCTCCATCGTTTAAAGTCCGAGGACTCAAGGACCTAGCGGTAAAGGTCTTCTAAAAGACCTCCTCTAGTGTCCTCAATCTGTTTCTGCTCATTCTCAGGATTGGTTGGTCATAGGCTCTTAAGAAACTGGCGGTCATGATCATTCATCAGATAAGGCGTCCTTTCCAAAATGAAACACTGTAGATGACAATAACGCTGGGACGAATTACCTTAAATCTGATCACCACCGAATCAACTCTGCAAATACTTTTAAGCCCATCATCATTCGCAGTACTAAAATAAACCGTATTACGATGATTGGCGTAGATGTTGTCCTGGTAATGCTCTTCAAGTGTGACTGGATTCTTGAAGACCACTTTGCCAGCTAAAGGCAGGGGCAACTCTTCAATAGTACTTCGGTCATCTGTTAAGCGGTGGACAAACCATGTATTAATTATAATAAACTTCGACGTCGTCAGGAAACTTGAACGGCAAAGAACCTGCAGCGGACGGCTGCGATAATTTCTACGGACCAAGTTCATCAATTGGAGAGACTTGACCTTTTCTTTGCCGTGCTCCAAGGGTCTTTCTGAGCTTCCGCAAGGCAGCCATTATTGCGGCGTTGTATGAAAGATAGCCGCTTGCGCGAATAATCGTCGAGCGTGCGATTGTAAATAAGATGGTGAGGATGAATGCGCGCCGCCCTTGGGCGGGATTCAGCTGGACTCGATGCATTGGGACGTGGCAGCAACTGGCCCAACCACGTCATTGTGTTTGGCGCCGGGATTGCAGGTTTACTTGCTTGTTTTAGATGCAGGGTTCTTCGAAGTGTCCCACCCCGTGATTCCAAGCGCGTTCCAATCATTGGGAACATTCTTTATCCGATACTGTGGTTTCTGATGCGGCTTCAGAAAGCAACTCATTACATACATCAATTCCAACTTACACAGGTTTACAACTCGATTTCCTACTAAGAGCAGTAGGGCGCCTTTAAACCACTACACAAAAATGTTAAGCACGACCTTTGAGCATGTATTGAAAAGCCCAGTCTAGTGTCATAGTCAGAAAAACATGTGTCAAAACAGCCATGAATAGAATACTAACTTGAACTGATTGGTCTTAGAAGGCGTCTCGGCATCTGACGAGGAACGAAATGCATACATTGGAGCTCACGATCTCTAGAAATTGTAAAACTATAATTCTTGTCAATCGTTTTGCGTGGATCATTTAGGTTGCGATTGAGGACTGAACATAAACAGACAGGCCTTTCCCATCTCAAAATAACGCCAATTCAGGTCTTTGAATTCTTCCAAAGCTAATGTTATCAGATCTTGCGTGTTCAACTTAGGGTGGGGATGTATTATCCCGAGGTTAACACATCTTCATTAAATACTAGTATCTTCGGAAATCTATCCAAATAGCTTCTCCAACTCTGTAGCAGACAGGCAGAGCCGGATACTGTACTTGTTATGGATAATACAGTAACTTATTGCATCGAACTGAGTGCATCGAACAAGATCTATAAATAGGTGCCGTCCGCATGAGAGTGCGGGGTAAGTGGGTGGCGCGGTGGGTTGAGCTTTCAGTGTAGATAAGACAAGACATCTCCCACTCTGTCCAACTTGAGCCCTTTGGTAATGTGTCTTCAAACCCGATCTTATTTTTTTTTGGCAATCGTTCTCATCTTTAACAAGTGGCCATAGTCTTCTGAGGCTTGAACTACAATGACGGACTCTTGCGAGCCGTTAAGAGTCCTCTCGCTTGGTAAGTAAGACTGACGCAGTTACCCGACTTCAATCGCTGACGCCTCTGAAGATGGCGGTGGAATTCGCGGCATTTCAAGTCTTCTCATCTTAGAACGAATCATGGAGAGGATACGGGATGTCAAGTGTCTTGACGAAGTTCCGCGACCATGCGAGTATTTCGACCTGATCGGAGGCACAAGCACAGGCGGGTATGAGGAAGCATCCTACGTGCGTTTTGTATCATTACTAAATACTCCTAGGATCATAGCGATAATGCTTGGAAGGTTAGGGATGTCTACCGACGAATGTATTAAAGCGTATAAGAAGGTTGCCCAACAATCTTTCACTCCGAAACGGACATCAATTCTACCAGCGTCACCCAGAGGTGCATTCTCTGCAAAAGCACTCGAGTCTGCCATAAAAAGAATTGTGAGGGAGTACTGCACGGACGCCGATTGCATCACTCGTCGCAGCGATGACCCTGCTACTATAGAGACGTGTCCGCACTCAGACATGGTCTTCCGAGATCACACATGCAAGAAAACGTAAGGGTTGAAAGAAGAATAAATTCTTTGAAAATATTGATAAGCCATAGGGTGGTCCTAGCAAGTACAAAGGACAATGTGGATGCGCCACCAACGCTCTTCAGGACGTACGACTCGTCTACTGCCTTTGAGACTGCTTCTCTTTGGCAAGTCGCACGTGCTACCTCAGCAGCCACGACCTTTTTTAAGTCAATAAAAGTTGGCCGCGATCGTATTGAGTTTGTTGATGCAGGTTTCGGATACAACAATCCGTGCGAAATTCTGACGAGAGAGGCGCAGCAAGTGTACCCTGAGCGCCGGACGATGAGAATCCTTAGCATTGGGACTGGTCTAGGTGATGTGGTAACCATCCAAGACAAACGATCATCTATCATTACTGCTTTGAAGAAAATGGTAACATCTTCCAAGGAGGTAGCAGCACGTATGCACCATCGCTACGGGAATAGTGGCGAGTATTACCGGTTTAACGTTGAGCATGGCCTTCAAGATATTACATTATCTGATTGGGAAGAGACTAGTAAGATTTCTGCGCATACGGGGAACTATCTAACAGAGAACGAACGGGAGATAAACAGATTTGTCGAAAGTTTTGTCCCTTGCGGTGGTTCAGAAAACGGGAAAGGCGCTCATTCGACGGTGAATGACATTACGCAAACGATTCCGACAACGGCCTATGCATTGAACCGAGAAAATGCGCGACCGAAGGCTGCCTACGAGTCCCAGCCTCACAAATCTGACCAAGCTCTACCTGATGACAAAACATCTCCCTCCTTCTGCAACGGCGAGATTGCGGACAGTTACTCTGTTAACAAATCAAAGACTCAATCCTATCCAGAACGTGGGCGGCGCTACAAACCCTTTCAAGGACCTGAGCGGCGGCTCAGTAGTAATCTCTCTTATGGGTGCTCGACTTGCAGTTCAAAGATGCACCCCTCCCGGAAATGCCCATGGGCGGGCAAGGATGAGCTACGTTGCAATCGTTGTGAGTACTACTCATGATCCATGGTATGCTTAGCTCATAAAAGTTTTCGAGGCCGGCAATTTGGGCACTGGGAAGAGGACTGCAAACCGAATGCGCCATGCAAAAAATGTACTCATCACTTGATCCAATGTGTTTCTCTTCCTGACTAACCCTCGTAGGTCGTAGTAAAGGGCACTCGGCAGAACATTGTCTCTACGATAGGGGTTGCTTCCTATGTTATTTATCTACCTACCCAAAACAATCAAGTGACCACCCACTGACTATTTCTATTATAGGCGGTCAATATGACCACTGGAATGAACCATGTCGTTGGAAACAAAAGTTGGAGAACTGGAGTTAGGTCAGATTACACTTTGGAAGAACTTCACCAGCTCCCAGCCTCCAACTACTGTAAGCTGGTTGCATTTACCTCAGATGATAGCTCAATCTAGAATATGGAATGCTGCCAGTGATTATTGTCTGCAAATTCTCAATGTCGGAAGGACAATTCTGTATACCAGAGTACAACCACTCAACCTCATCAACCAATTCCAAGTACTTACCAGCGGGAGTATCCGCTTATCCTTAGATTCACTTGCCATACCATATGAACTTAGCCCTGAAGCTCCAACATTTCGTTCACGTGGCATTGTTTCTGATCATATATAGATTATTTGAGAGAAAATGATTTGCTATAGCTGCCCCAAGTACCAGTTGTGTGCCTCAAACGTTCCAATATCAGGTATCTGTATCGGCTGCACATCATAATGGATGCTTACATACGGGGTAGATGTCCAAGAACTCCCAACATCAATTCCAAGATTTTAGATCATTCTTTTTCGAACTATATCACATGGATGGCTAGATCGGACACTTGGTGATTTGAAGCGTAACATTACCATTTTCCAAGTGAGGTTTCACCTGATCCTCATAGCATCATTATTCATTCCTTCCCTTTTGATATCTTGGTAAAATGAGGGCTTGGTATTGTTAGTGAATATGTGTTTAACCCTCATTCTCCACACACGGGTGACTTCCACAAACTTCCATGTGATATTACATCCTCGAAGCACTGGATCATTTAAGGCTAATACTTATCGGACAGAGGGCGACGCGGGAGCGGGTCGTTACCGAGTGGTTGTGAACAAGCACAATAAGTAAATAGGCACCATGTATCATCCCACGAGACTGGATAATAGGTTTGAGTTGTGTGATGTCGAGTAGAACGGTGCCAGCGCCTTCTCTCTGCATGTGCAACTATTGTAGAAGTATGTGCAGAGTTGCCTTGTACCCTTCGATTGTAGACAAACAGCCATAATCTGCACAATATGATTTTGACGACGGATCACCAGTGTTTATGTTCATCTTCAGGGTAGTTTTCTGCATGTTTAATCAACCCTTACAGCTACTTCTAGCATTACTCTAAGCACGAACGGCGACTTTGTCAATGGAAGGGTGTTCTGTGTACGTATACAGCCCAGCATATGTAGCTCGGAATGCTGCGGGCCAGGCTGTTATCCCCGTTCCCGCCCGAGTCTGTGCCCATTTAGTTCTTTATGTACCGGAGATGACTGTTCCACCCCAACGTCCAGCGGGCTTGAGCATCGGAGAGAGAATCTTTCACAATGAATGATGGTCTATCGGTATTATCTTAATTATCTTAATCGTCTATAAAACAATCCCCCTCGATTCTCAACCTTTCGTCCCACTGGCGGGGCCTGCCCCAATAGGGCTGTATCTCCGCGTGGTGATGGAGAAAACCACATTGCCCGCCGCTGCTTCGATCACACCCCATGCGTACCGGATCTGCGCCTCACTCAGCGCACCCGAACGACACAAACCCTCCAGCTCCGCATGGATCCGATGTTCTGTCTGCGTGAGCAGGCCGCTGGTGAGTGTTTTGGCGGAACCCGCGTCAACGGCGAGGACCTGCTCCAGATATCGAACCGCGTTCGCGCACGTCTCGGAGTCGCGTCGCTCCTTGTCGTAGGAGAACAGGTCGTTGGTCATGATGATGTGATCCATGGCCAGTGCGATCAACGGGGCTAGCGGTGTCTCCTCAGCGGATGAGAGGTGAATTCCGTTGCCGAACTTCACGGCGGCCAGGATGTAGCTGGGCGGAGGGGATGGGATCAGTTGTTGATTTCTGACGACGGCATGAGGATATCAGATACTTACTCTCGTCCGATGTCAACCGCCCGGTAGTCGAGATAGTCTCTGAGGGAAGTGAACTGATCTCGCATTGTCGACCGCATGAACGCCATCCACGTTAGGTATCCCCGAATAAGCCCTTCCCCTTGACCGTCGATGCGCAGCATCTGCTGAGCCAAGCAAACAAACATATCTGAAGAGTTTGCTGCGTATTTATATGGGTGAGCAAGAATGTCGGCCCAGCTCGCCGTCACTTTCTCGATGATCGTTGCACTCTGGTCACGCATGTTAGCCTCCTTCACTTGCATAAAGTGCTTGCATGATTACCTCGTGTGGTGAATCCGACGACTCGAGGATGTCTGCCAGTGAGGATGTCAGCGACTTCAATCGGTGCCGAAAGATGTAACACGAGCCACACCATCATGGATCCAGAGTATCAGGTTAAGCTGTGAGATAATCTCGATCTCCTCGCAAGAACAGTTGGGATTCATATACACGGCCGCGCTCGACGCGTTCACGATTCGCTCCACCTCTTTGTTCGAGAGCTCTATCTCCTCTTCATTCGTTTCAATCTTGGCCCAGCCACTCTTGGTGCTGTTTGCACGGTTGATCCGCTTGATCTGTTGGAGGAGTGCCTTGCCGGCATTTTCTGCCTCGCTCCAGAATCGGCACTGTCGCGCTGCGGGGAAGGAGCTTCTCCAAGGAAGATGTAATGCGACCGGGTCAATCGTGACTGAGTTCGGTCTTGGGTCATTCTCGTTTGGGATGCCTGTTGCCAGGAAATTGTATTCGGAATGAACTGGGCCCGTACAACCGATCGTACCCAGCGGGTCATTCCGGTAGGAAATTGGTCGCAGTGGTTGAGGTGTCATTGTGCTTTATATGACAAGTTGTAAGTGTGTGGAGTTATTGTCAAGGTTTTAATCTCCTGGTAAGCTCCTGGCAGGGAGAGAGGGAGCTCTCATGGCTTAAATACCGGGCGGACATGTTACACAGAGAACGCGGCTACGAGGTGGCGGCGTCGCCGATGTGCGGTGGCTTTGGGTTCTGCAGTCTATGTTTGCGATATGTTCAGGGCTGAAAGCTGAACTCGTGACGATGGACAACCCAGGCTAGCTGTTAATGCCGTTATGTGAGAGATAGGAGCTGAAGGCCGGGCGCAGTTCATCGGCTTTGATGTCCTGCTTCAAGACACACCATCGCAAGCCACACCGGATCCGGGTTAGTTGGTCTGACTAGGTGAATCGAAGAGATCTGGGAGTGCAGATGGCCTTCGGTCCTTTCGCTCGATCGCTTACTCGCTCTACCCCACAAGATGTGTTTTTCGATCCTATTCAAAGATACACAAACAACAGGCGGAGACGCGATGTCATACTTTGCGGTCCCGATAGTGACAGTGAAGACTGTCCTCTCCCTGGTCTGGAGGAGTCTGGATCAAGCAACCCACAATTTGCCACCGAAGCTTGTGAGAGCGTTATCAACACGGCGCAGGCCTTACTGGACTGGTAGACTCAAGCGACAAGATGGAAATTCGAAGCGATCACGACGTGCCGCAGGCCAGTGGCGGACTAGGGCTCGGGGCCGGACAACCCCGTAGAGGCTAATGTAGTTTCTGTGCTGACCGCATGAGAGACCTGCAGGTTGATCACGGACGAGATAATAGCCGACCAATCCTTTGGTACAATTCTTAGGATCTGTAGCAAACACCTGTTCTCTTGTTACTTTTTCCCAGGGCTGGCTGAATGTTGATGACTCGTGGTGGGAAGATTTGGCTTGCTGAACCGGTGTTTGCCATTGTCCATGTTTACGCCATGACATTGTCGCCTCAGCTCTTTTGTTATCCACGATGCTGCTAACAGAAATACGCTTGTTCGGGCCATCCGTGATTCGACTCATGGGTCCAGCATTTGCCATCTATCATCGCGTGCTTATTTCGCCCGGATTGGTGATTTTCGCCACCGTCGGCAAGGGTATCCCAGATGGAAAGCGTGCCATGTCGGCGTAGCCAAGCAGCTGAAAATATATTCTATGACCTCGCAGACTACGTTAACCTAACTGATCTGGTACTAATACGGTCGAATCGAGATGGAGATTGGGGCATCACACTGTTCATTCCGGTTTTCTGTCGCAGCCGGACAACCTCGGCCTCCTTCGGCACCTTGCGAATGTGAAGATGAATAGTGTGCCTGTCTCTATCCTTTTGATGCAGGTATTTCTTGATCTCTCCTGTTTATATGCTACTAGAAACGCGCGCACGGTCCGCCCCGTCCTTGCCATCTCTGTCTGTCGAATGACTGGACACCCGCGCCCACGCAAGGCAGATGCTGGACATGGCGAGCCTGCATCGACGCAATGCTTTCATTGACTAACCATACCGTCGCTGACCCTGTGATCCTTCTCCAGCATATAAGAAGGACTGGGTCGATTAGCGAAGGCTTGGTTGAGCCAGTTTGGCCGTTCAGTGTTGCGATCTGCGAGATAGGTCATATCGAATGTTCCTTCCTATCCACTATTCATACATCATCTCGATTTCAACCCATATCAAGACCCTCGAGATCGTCATTAGCAGGGAACTACTATGTTATCTGTCTCGGTGCTGCGCAAAGCCACCAATTGCATTCCCCAGTCTTTATCCGAAAGTCTTACTCACTCTCCCGACAGTCTACAGGATGAGGTCCATCGAACAAGCATCCCATCAATCCCCCGAACTGGGACACAATAGGATGCGAAACGGACCATGAGTAGGCAAAAATGTCATGTATCTTGATAATCAAAAATATACGACCGAAATAGAGGTGATACGCGGGGTGCAACTGTCCAGCCAACCAGGCCTTGTCGGTTACCGTGAAGAAAGTGGCTGCCGGGATGTGGCCGACTGTTAACACTACAAAAATAACTGAAATATGTGACCTGCAAAGTGATCGACAGAAGTGACAGCCTGGAGTCCACTTCGACGAAAAATGGAATGGTGGACTACGTTCCAAAAGTCGAGACACTCAGGACCCCATCATTTGAGACTCCACGGCTTCACAATTCGGAACACCGAGCCTAAGCCCGTCCCCATCATACTTGGGAAATCGAAACCCACGTCGGCGACCGGCATGACAGCGAACAACCCAGAGAACAAGAGTAGAATGGTGGACCTCGTGTCAACAGTAGCGACACCGAGGACCAACATTTGAGATTCCACGGCTGCCTGCACATTTCGGAACCCCGAGCCGAACCCCATACCCGCGATGATCGGCCTTTTTGGAGTTGTGACACCCTGCCTCGGCGACCGACCGACCGACAACAAACATCAATAATGAGGCCGGAGTGGTCAATGCATACCTTCTCGATTGACTACTCG